ACCGAAGGTTCATTTGCCAGCTCTCGGAGTGTGGAAAGCGAAAACGTGAAAAATCCGTGAAAAGAGAAAGAAATCGCGAGAATGCATCGAGAAACGAAAGTGGCATAGGCAGCACAGGCATATCTCGTCCGCGTGCTTTCAATGCCCTTTCACCTACACGAGCTACGTTGATGGACGCGTTAATCGGCGGTATCTCATGGGGAATGCGATGTAAGGATCTCCTACTACCGAGGTGCAGAAAATCGATGTGTTTTAAACACTAAAAACGTCAATTATGCCATTACGGCCACAGGGACGGTTAAACATGATACTACCTGTAAATCAATAGCAAGCGTGGCTAACAATTTCCGGGTGTATCCCTCGTAACAATAACTTCACAATATCTAACAACTCATAAATTGACGAACAATTGAAATACCAGCCTTTCTTATTACAGAAACTTTACCAACAAAATTGCTGTAACATAAATTCGTTGAATTTCTTTTCATATAAATATGTTATTTATAGCGTCATTACGTTGATTTATATCCAAAGCTAAAAATATTATTGGCTAGATTGAGAGAACAAAAGTCATGATTCCTTGATATAAAATAAGTTCTACATGGCTGTTAAATAATAATGTTTAATTATTTGCGACTGAAATATGTCGTGTTTCATACCAATTATACTATTATGTAACAATTATTAACAACAATTAGTTACTACACACATGTTGAAACATTTACTAACATAATTGATAATAATTCATAATTGCATCAGAATATATCATTAATGTTGTTACATAACAATAATTACATTTAAATGGCTGATAATAAATAGTTTATTATATATTGTAAAAACATTTCTATTAATTTCTAACATTTTTTTAAATATCAGATATATTAAATTGAACGTGCATATATTGAATTTAAATATAATTTTACTATAAAGAAAAAAGATCCCGTTAAAATATAAATATCTAAATTTCTATAAGATATCTGCGTTATTTTCTGATGGAAGCGATGGAAAATGAAGTCGAAATGTTGTCGAAATGAAAGTGACTCGTTGCGCTTTTGGCCCCGTTTTATCTAAAAGAGGCACAACGACCATCGTCTTGGACGATCGAAGTCGAGTCTCGCAAAGGATAGATCGTAAGATCCGTTCTACGGATTATCGTCTCTTCCTCTCCTCCCGCGAAGAGGAAGAGAGCGCTCCTCTCTGTCGTCGCGGCGGCCGACCGTGCCGTCTTCGGCCTCCTCGAGTTTCTCAAGGACGCGGGATCTTTGGCGGTGGCTTCTCTGGGAGAGCCCAGCGGGCGGCTCGAGATCCGGCGTGTATCTAAGTACCGGTCGTATCGAAAAAGCTGGCTTAAGCACCACTCACATACACGTCGCTCGGTGCCGGTATGCGCGGTTCCTCGCGCAGGTTTCACTATTATTACTTTCACTCTAGCCGAGAGACGTAGCCGAGGCGTTCATGGACATCTTTCGCGGTCGTCGTCGTCGTCGTCATCATTTTTTCTTCTCCGGTCTCTTGGTCTCTTCGTTCCTCCGTCATCCTCGTTCGGTCGTCTTTCACTTCGACTTCGTTGTCGTTTTCGCCATCGTCCTCTTCGTGGCGGTCGCAGCATCCAAGCGCGGTCGTTGCAGCGCGCAACGTTGCAGGAAGGTAAATCGTACGTATAATTCGTACGTTGCGCTCGCTCAGGAATCCCCGAGACTAACTTAATAAGCGCCCTCGCCCTTTCACCCTCTTTTCTCCGTCTGTGTCCTCCGACGGCACCCCCCGTAAAGCGGCAAGGAGCTGTGCTACGATTCCGTAGGTATTTAATGCACGCGCTCTCTGGTGCGCGCATTTGCGCGCTGCCTGTCGCGGTGCGAGCTATGAAATTTAGATGTTATGCGAGACGCGCGAGTGTGCGAATTAAGGTAATAGTCGCGGAAGCCGACTAGTTCGTTTCCACGATATCTTCTGCGCCGGCAAATCTACGCGGTAAACATTAGCGCGAGCTCGTAAAGATTAGTTATACGCTTTGTAAAGGGGGAAGGACGTCGCGTGTAAAATAAAGTAGTAAATATATTTAGAGGTAGGTATAATGAGGGTGCCATTACATGCATTATTTTTGTTTAAGTTTTATTGTACCGACCATCGCAAAGACCGTCACTTCAAATCTAATCATTTACATCTCTTTATTATATTTTAATTTTAACTTTAGAGTCCTTCTCCTCTCACGCTCTCTCTCTCTCTCTCTCTCTATGCGATTTGTAATGTCGGTATCTTTACGCGGCATATATAAGCCGCATTTAAAAATGCGCGGTTTTTACGCGTACTCTAATAAACGCACGCAAAACCACGCGCTGCTGCTCGTTTTGTACCAATCGAGGAACTATTCGGCATAACTTCCTTTCCGCGAGCACTTAGACTCGAATGCGCAATATTGCCCGATAAGCCTACACGCCCGTTCGTGTTCTAATTTGCAATCATCAACCGACAGAATCCGCCGGTACATACGGTCGGAAGGTGGGAATTTACCGCGCGATCCCCAGCGAATAAATACTGCCGCGCGATTATAACAGAACAGGCAATTAGGAAAACGGCGAGGGATCAAGTTACCGGTTAAGTTCTCGGCTTTGGAAATTAAAAGCGCAGTTCCGTCGAACTATATCTTCGATTCGGACGCATTACGGAATCAGTGGCCTCATTATATTCGTATTCGAAAGCTTTCGAAAGAGAGATGTATAACCGCCGGATATTTTTTCCCCTCGTCTGATCCCATTTTATCGTAATTACCGCTTATACCGGTATTTCAGAGCGGAATAAAAAGCATTATTGTTTCAAAACTATCTTGTCTTGTCTCTTGATCCTCAAAAAAAAAAAAAAAGAATTGATACAGACCTGATTTCCAAAATTATCGGGATGACGAGGTTGTCCTCACGCTTGTCCAAAGTGTCGGCACAGCCACTAAATGCCACGTGCTGCAATTGAGTAGCGATCGCATGATTTATACAGCTTGTTATTAATAAATAAATCTGTAGCAGGATACGGTAACAGTACAGGTTATTATTCCCCTTCGCTGGTAACTGACAAGTAACAACATCTCGTAAAGATTACTACGCCGTATTTCAGTCACGCATGCATTTATGGCGATTTCGCTCTTTCGCCCTTTTACGAGAGGATATTGGGTTTTGCCATGGTGGTTCATAAGGACATGGCCGAAAACGTCTTGGGAAAGTAGTTCGATTAGTATATTTCATGCGTTTTTGCGTTTTGTGTCCCGGTGCAATCCCCCTTTACTGTCTCGGGTGTAGTCTCTCGGGTAACGCCTTTGCGCCCGTCGTAGTTTCGAGGATACGCGCGCCGCCGAGGATCGTCTTTTTTTCCTCCCCCGCGACTTTCGGAGTGCCGGAGCGGCGCTCCATTTTCCGGCGCGGCGCACTTTTCACGCGTCCGTCTCTTCCGAGTTTTCGCGAACCCGCCGTCCCGAACTTCGCCGTGTAAACGTTAGCTCGGCGCTCCCTCGCAGGGGTTCTATATCGCGAATAGCACAGACTCGTAATGAAAATTCAGCACGGCTGAAAGCGGGTGGTGCGAAAGAGCGGAGGGTTAAAGTCAAGTGAAGAAAAAAAATTAGATTATTTCCCCTCCTCTCCCCCCCCCCTCCCCCTTCGTCTC